TATACTTTTGAAAATAAGGTTCTTGAAATACAGACTCACTACATATGTTTTGTTCCATTTTTAGATTAAAGGAAGAGACAAAGTGGTCCAAATGTTACTATACATATCTTATGGGAGGTGAGTACTGTCATATCTCACATTGTGGTGGAAATAATCACTGTTTAAATCATATTTTAAACTTGCAAGTCTAAATTGAAATAAATTTCTATTGATTACTTGATATTAAAACTTACTTCAATTTAATATGTTGACTCAAAAATTCCACTTTTAAATCATTTACACTGTAATATTAAATCACAATTCTTTACCAATAGAAAAGAAATTTAACTTAAAATTTGTTAAAGCATTTGAAATGAAGTTTTAATCAAAAGAATGGAAACTGTTGTAAAAAACATTGGAAATCTTAGTTTTATGGGTTTTTTTTACGTATGTTTTTAAAACAAATTGTGTAAATTTTCGGTGATTGCCACATGTGCTTGAGATTGATTATGTATGCTTGTTTTAGTGTCCTTGGGAGCAATGGGTGATATAAAGGGAGCTCATGACATACTCAAAGAAGTACCGGGTCTGCTCAAAAAGAAAAACAATCAAATCGAAGCCTATGTTTCAAGGAGGGTAAGTGTAGCTTTTAGGTTCTGATCACAATTTGTCGTGCATCCTTCTGTCTGTAACTTTTCACATTGTGGAGCCACTAGCTTCACCAATATTGCCACAAAACATTCTTGAGGGAAGGGGATTCAGGTTTGTTGAATGAAGACTAGGCCTCTTCCAAGGGGCAGATATTAAAAATTAAGATGATTTTATTGGGATTTCTTGAAAGTCATTTCTTCAAAAACCACAGGACCAGGAAAATCCTCAGGTAGTGTAGATTCGATTTTATTAAAATTTTGACCCCTTTGGGTAGGGTTTGAGCCACAATAGGTGATTAAAACTAAACATAGGCCTGGAATGTATAGGAAAACTTCTTTAAAAAATTTCTTCTCAAAAATAACAAAGCTATGATTAGTCACATTAAATTAGAAGCATCCTCAGGTTTGTAGATTCAGATTCAGAATAATGACTGAGGGTGAGGGTTGGGGGGATGGTACCGCAATGGCCAATAAAAGTTTACTTAGGAATATATTGGGAAAAACTGCTGACAAGGAACAGTATAGGGCCATTATAGTGACTCAGATGAGCTTTGTGAGCCCAGTCCCTCTTGTTTTTTATCATGGCATTGTTTTGATTTATAAGCTGGATACTGACTACTGAGGAAGTTAATTAATACCTTGTTTTGTATTTAAAAGGCTGAGAAGTTCAAGAAGGCAGCCCCAAGTCAGGAGTACTGTCGTCTGCTATGTATGGAGCTGATATTTCTCTGGCATGCTCTACCCACCTGCACTCCAGATGAACTTCAACCTTATCTCACAGGTACAAAGTTAATCTGTTATATTTCAATGACTTAAGTCATAAGGGGAAAGCATAGAATACAAGAAATAATACTGGTGAAACGATACCCCTCTTTTAATGGTTTGATATGTATTGAATAATTTTGTCTCTATACGGTTATTTTCGATACAATGCATTTTGATAGAAGGAAACTGGCTTCAGTTAAGGTAGAGTTAAGTGGTGCAACAAGGTTGCAAATTTAAAATATATATATTAGTAGTTTCTTCTTTATTTTTTTTCAGTTTGTGACATGCAAACAGATTCAAAGGTCTATCATGTCAAATGTTTGATAGAAGGAGCTGTGTATAAAGAGCTTGGAGAACTAGAAATGGCAATACAGGTGAGTGTTAGGACAATATTGGGGCTTTTAAAGTTCCTTACAGATGAGTTTGAAGACAATATTATTAGTTACATAGTTTTTAAGTGACAGGGTACGGGATGATACCTGGTTAGTATATTTCATACCAGGCGAGGCAGAATGTATCGCTATTCTCTCAGTGCTTGCAATTACAAAGTATGTAGAAAATTAACAATCATACTTATGTGTGAATAGTATATATAAGTAAGATCTCCTTGGAAAGGGATTTCCCACTTGTCCTTTACTTTTCTTCTCATTGCTAAGTTTTTGATTAACAATTGATTTTTCTTGTTTAGTGTTTAGAGGAGGCCATAGCTCGACAACAAGGAATGAAGGAAGACCAACATGTCCCGGCTTTTGCCAGCTTTGAGCTTGCTTCTATTTACATGAGAAAGCCTGAGGTAAACAATAGAATGTACAAATCTTTTCTTGTGTAAGATGTAGACAAGAAAACAATCACACTTTTTTTGCATTAAGAAAGTAAACCAGTACCAGTATATATTTTAAAACACACCTGAACTTTAAGTACAATCTTCAGCACTGATGCTATTTATATATCACAGGCTCTTGACATTTTCATTGATGAATACTGTAGATGTACTATTTTCCATGGGGGTCATAAATCCGCGGAATCTCTATTTCTTTTTAATCCGCGGGTAGAAAATTACGCAGATTTCTTAGACTCTCACAATACCAGGGGTGATCAAAAAGTTTGCGAACTATCTTTATATCTACAAAACCGCAATTTAGATTAGAAAAAAATTTGGTGTGCACATAGCCATACACAAGTTTTATAAATAGCATATGCTGAATTAAGTTTTGCTATTTGTTTGTGACGTCACAATGTAAAAATGACGTCACTATGTAGGTCATTTGTGACAAAAAATGGTTAGTGGAGAAGGCTTATATAGGCTATGCCTGCTGCCCAATCCATTTATGTGTTTTACATAATAAAATATGTTCAAATCAAACAAAAAATGGTTGTCTTAGTCGTACTTGTTCAACGAACAACTGCAAAATTTGATGATATATCTTAGAAATTCCTTTGCAGTAGCATATAAGAATTTTTATTTCCTATCTAGCTTGTAACACAAGCTTTGATTGATTGCAGAGTCAGTTGTAAATTTCTGTACACCCGACTTCAGCCGGAGGTAAAAAATGTGACATCACAATGCATAGTTTCCCTATGATAAAAAGCAAATAACATGACGTCACGATGCATTATAGTACGTATTGATAGATTGAGACACAGTTGATTAGACTCTGTTTACAAAGAATTTTTATGGGAACATAGGAAATAAATTTGTTATCCAGGTCCAGTCAAGGGAGTAAGGTGATTTACCCCGGGTTTTATTCCATTCACCCTTCGGCCTCAGGGTGTATGGAATAAAACCCGGGGTAAATCCCCGTACACCCTTGATTGAACCTGGATAACTAATAGTACACAATTCATTAAGACAAAAGACTTCCTATAAATTCAATAAATGATTGGATTAATCGTTTTAGTGAAGGAAGGTATATGTTTAAAAATGATATTTGTTATGTTGCCCAGTGAAAGCAAGTTTGAAAAGAGATGTGTTTTTAATTACACAATTTGCTATCAAAGACCTCTAATTTACACTCTGGAAAATAGTTGAACATCTTAACAATAATATTCTTATTAAATACCTAAGATATTGTTTACTTTAGATTTTAAACGAAAAGGAGGCACCCATTCTCTTTCCACCGTTAATAAACATCTCTCCCTAGACAGAAGATTTGGGTTTTGATGGTCGCCATGCTTATTTTTTGGACAGGATATTCTTAAGAGATTTGACCATTTCTGACAAATAAACTGTTCTTGTTATAAAAATTAACTTTCATGGAAAGAAATATAAAACTCAGAAAAATATTTCGGCTTTTGTGACAGAACGCAAGGAACGGGGTCACGTGACTGCCTATATCACGTGATTCGTGCATGAGTAGAACAGTAGCAGATATTCATTAAAATCAGAGAGGACTAATTTAAAATACAAGAGGCCCACTGGCCTTATAGGTCACCTGAGTATCATGTAACAACTTTTGAACAATTGAATTTGGTTCATGTTTTAAACCAGAGGCCATGAAATTCACAATTTTGAAAGATGCACCATTGCTTATCATAATGATACACAGAAGATTTGGGTTTTGATGGTCGCCATGCTTATTCCAACTTATAACCAGTTGTTTTGGCCACTTTATATTTCAAAATTTTGGAAATTTTATAAATTTTATTTCATAATAAATGGTTGATTAATACTAGCAGATTTCAAAGCATTAATTTATTTTCAGACTATGTAACCTCCCCCCCCCCCCTACCCCTGACCCAGGGGGCATGAAATTAACCCACCTTTTTTCATCATAAATACATTCTGTGTCAGGTGCAAAGGAAAAGATTTTCAAAGAATTAAAGACTCCATTTTTGACAAATGAAAACAAATGTTCTTGCTCATTATATAATAAATTAACTTACAGAGATGGAAAGAAATATATAAACTCAGAAAAATATTTTGAAAGAGGCACTCTTACTCATCATAACTATGTTACAGTTTATTTAATACCCAGGAAGGAAGGGGGTCACGAAGACATGACTATGCACCTATATCAGGAGCATTTTCAAAGAATTAATGATTTTCATGCATGAGTCCCACCCTTACACCAGAACAGCCATAAAATCAACAATTTTAGCAGATATTAACTATGTACTTAGTTATTTTATTTAATACCCAGAAGCAGAGAAGATTTTCAAAGAATTAATGTTTTTTCACTATATAAATATAATGGGGCCAACATTGAAACCAAATATTAGTTTTTTTTATGGAAGTTATTATAATTAGTTCTGGTGCCATGAAACAATTTTTAGATGATCACTCCTTGTAATCCTTGACAAGTATTTATCAAAGAGTTAATTTTATGCCCCATCAGGCCCCAGTGACTCAGGTGACCTAATAATCAACATTGAAACCAAATATTGTTTCTTTTATGGAAGTTATTAAATTAGTTCACAAACTTTTTGATCACCCCTTGTAATCCCCACAAGTATTTTGAGTATGATGGGATAAATTTCGGCAGACAACTTGTGACCTTGTACATAGCGTAAATTAATACCACGCGGAAAAAAGTACCTCTACAGTATATTCCCCATATACATATTATAAGGAGATATGTCATCAAAAGAGAAAGGTTTAAAACATCAAGTGCTTGTGGTAAATATATTCAATGCAATAATTGATCAAATTTTCATTTTCAGTGCATTAATGGTTAAAATTTCATAAGCTTATTCTTTTAGTACTCATTTATATGAAAATGCAATGAACATTTCAGACTGCTGGAAAAGCAAAACAACTGTTACAACAGATAAAGGTAAGATTCATCCATTCGGCAACTGGGGTACATTCTGTCTTATTCTCAGCTTCATATTATTGTCAGAGACAGAACATGTCAAGCTATTCCATAAATAAAAAATTTCATAATTATATTTCAAGGCGAAAATCAATGAACAATGTCATATCTATATTATTTTAGGATAATTACAAAGACTATGATTTTGAGAATAGATTAACAGTGAGAGTGAATAATGCCTTGAAAGCATTGAAAATCAGTGCCAAAGTGGGATGAGTAACAGACCTCCATCTTCCCTCACTCCATCTCCACTTCAAGAGCAAATCAGGATCAGGAAATCCAGCTGGGTGTACAGGAAATCCCAATGGATGTTCAGGAAATCCAGATAAATGATTTAAAAAATGAGCATCCGATCTGGTGGCTTTTAGTTTAAATAAATATCATTCTCTAATCACTAATGACTCACCACTTCATGATCTTTTCAGTATTTCAGTCAATATAGAAATTTCTGTTGTGTTCTCGTATCAGGGTTGTTTCATAATAGACTACTGTTACTCATTGACAACAGTTTGAAAATCATGAAGGCAACAAATATGTTTACTTCAGTTGGATATTTTGTTCATGTTTCCATTTCCTTAGACCAAATGTAGACCAATTATCATTAAAAAGTTATTAGTATTATGTGTCAACACTGTGCCAAAGTTTGATGCCCCATTAAACTTATAAAAATCAGTTTAAATCTGATGACAAATACATTGTTGTTGTTCTATGTCATTGCATGTATTTATTTAATTTGACATTTACAATATCATTGGTTCATAAAGTAAGTACACGTCAGCTAATGCAGCAAGTCCTGTCAAGGCTCTAAAGAAAGCATGGAAAAAGATGGTCTCTTTAGGAACAAGACATGATTGTCAATTATTGTCTAACTTAAGACCATACACATGGAGCTATGCCATTAAATTCAGAATAGCGTAAGTTTAATTTTGAACTGATCTTTGATGAGTATATTGGTAAATTGAAAGATTCTCCGTAAGCCATCAATTTTTTGATAATGAAGATAATCATCATGATACTTGATATTTTGAAATACATCTATACCTTAATTAAGGGGAGTTGATTAAGAACTAAACTTTTTTACTTTGAAATCAGTGATTAATTTTGTCATAATAGGATTATTTTACTCGTCACTGATTAGAAATGTGAAACTATTGGATATTGAATATGTTTGTAAAGTATGAAAAAAATAGGCCTAGGGACATGGTCTGTCTGGTTTCCTGGTATAATACAGATAACCATGCAGGTATTATTCACAATTTTCATTGACATGGAATCATTTCCCCCTTTTGTACCTCTCCAGTCTCTAAAGCAGTGCTGCGGTAGATATCATCTTGTCTTTTCATGGAATGTATGTAAGCAGCATTTGGAATATAAATTATTTTCAATATTATATTTTCATAAAGTTATGACAATCCAAGAAATTAAATTATGTGAAAACCTTAATACACGTAGCTTGCATTTTTTCATTGTTGTTTGAATATTTGCGCTTTATTGAGTCACTTCGCGTTTTAGGTGAAAATTCTAATTTGTTTGATATTTTCAAAGAAAATCAAAAAATGATAATTGTAATGACAATTGTAAAATGCCATTAGTTATATTTTGTATTTTTTAGAAACAAATGAGGAAAACTTGTTGATTTGGACTTAATGTGTAATACTCATTATGTCATTTGATGCTGTAACAATTTCTAAGTCATACAGAGTGGCATTTGTAACTCGAATGTGTACATCTAGTTAGTTTTCACTTTGAGCCTTTCATTAAGAATTTTTGCATTTTTATTGACATTTTGATTTTCCTTATGAAAAATTGAATTTGGATGTCTTTACTTTGAATTGTTTGCTACTGTGAGTTTTTGACATGCTTTTCAATTAATTCCCTGTTCTAATAAACACATCTTGTTTATATTTTTCCAATAATGTCAGTTGTAATACATGAATTTCTATTCTTGTAGTTTAAATTTCTTTGCTTATGAAACTGCACATATTTTATCATTCATTAAACTAGTTTCTTTTTTGACAGGATAATTTAATCACTCAGATGTGAAAATAAAGAGAACAGATTTAGGCTGTATGTTGTTTTTAGATAGAAAACCCCATTTCACTTAATCATACAGAATGTCATCTTACATAAATGTTAAGAAAAATGCATCAGTAAATTCACAATGCATTGAATTATACACTGGATTGGACACCTAGATAAAATGTGTTGTGAAACACTGATGCTTCTCAAATGCAAGTCAAGGTCAAAGGTCAAAAGTGTTGGAATCTAAAGGAAGGATTTGTTGGAAGGAGGATACGTGTGAAATATGAGAGCCCTGGTAATAACTGTTCAAAAGTCATGGTCATTTTTTTAAAAGTGGGTCAAACTTTAAGTTCAAGTCAAAAAGACGAAAACATTTATACCCATTGAAAGGTTACAGTGAATAAACCTGTGAAGTATGAAAGCCCTAGCACCAACTGTTTAAAAGTTATGAGCAAGGTTAAAGTTTGAAATGTAAAAGTAAAGTAAAACCGGGTCAAATTCCAAGGTCAAGGTCAGTAGGTCAATTTGGTGGTACTTTTAGAAAGGTTTTTTCCCAATGGATAAACGTGAATTAAGAAAGGAATAGACCCGACCACTCAAAAGTTATTGGCAAAGTTTTTGTGGACAAAAAGACGAACAGAGAGTTTGATTTCAAAATATACTCGGCACTAAGTACATGTAAAGATGATTCGATTTCATAAAAGTGAAAAAGGGTTGGGTCATTTGGAAATCATCTCAAGAAATATTGGTCCACAAAAGATTGGAGCCAAGTTTTACATAGAAATATAATATAGAAGAACAAAATCTGGCAGGGTCATAATTAGCGGTTTGATGGATTTAAGTTATTTCGAAAACGTTATGAAACAAAAGAACTAAACGCCTTTTAAGATGCTCTTCTGAAAAAATGTACAACCCATTACATCTATCTAAAGCCTTTGAATATCCTGTATACTTATTAATATAACAACTTCAAATTCCACTAAAAGAAGCAATAGGTCATCGTGACTTCCAGTTTGGTTAAAACACTCTGAGAACTCAAGATGCATCTACTGCATGACAAAGCCGTTGATGATTCTGATCCTAAAAGTAGGTAAATGTGAGCTTTGTTTTAGTAAAGATACTATCAAGATACTATCAAGACCTCTAAATGCATCAAATGACAAAGGTTCGATAATTTTAAGTCTCTTATAACTTAAAATTTTTAGATTTTGTCTTCATTTCTGAAAGTAGGTTACTCAGTACTGTGATCTACTTTCATGTTGACAACTTGACATACATGTACTAGTATTCTTAGGTTTCAATTACATGAACTGACAAGATTGATATACATGTAGTACCTGGAATACTTGAATATTGTCATAACATTTGATTACAAGGTCACTGTGATCTACTTTTTCCATTAACGTTCTCTGTAGACGAAAAATGCACCAACTTACAAAGTCTAAGGCACTTTAATTAGAACCAGAAATATTTTTAAATATACTCATTGATATAGCCGTAAAATTTTTAAAGTATCTCACGGTGAACTACTTTTCAGTTAATATTCTCGGAGGACCCGAGATCTATATAGACATTACATTTCATAATTGTTAGCTATACATTGTACTTCAAATATTTATGTAAAAAGATTTCAAAAATAGGTCACAGTGACCTACTTTTCAGTTGAATTTCTCCATGACCCAAGATGAATAAACTGGTGATTCTAAGCTAATCGGTACCAGAAATATCTAAATTTGTAGCTATTAAATTTCAAACGTAGGTCAAGGTGTACGCTTTGGGGTACCCATCTCTTATCCGGAAAATGAAAACGTAAACAAATTTTATTTATTCACTGTAATATTTAAACACGAGAATAAGATTTTTAAACCCACTCATTATCATTTAAATCATATTTAACAAGCTTTTGGGTACAAAAAATTGTTGAAATACTAGAGGTACTGTGAGCAATGAGCTCACTAAATGATGCCCCTGCCTCCAATATGTATAAAATGGCAGTGTCCATGTTTTGCCAAGGGAAACCCAAAATATGTCTCGGATCAAAAAGTAAAATAGGAGGTGCACAATGGCAATATGTAATAAAGATTCTTTGAAAGTTTCATTAAATTTCAATCAGTGGTATGAGAGGAGTTGCGGATAAGAGATGGGTACCCCAGAGCGTAACAGACAGACGGACGGACGAACATAACGATTACTATATACCCTCCCGCTTTTCAAGCGGGGAGTATAATGATACAAACACGTAGTATCGTTTTATTGGGGTGTGATATTTGTGTGCGTGTACAAAACTCGAAAATACATTTTCGTTAATGGGAGGTTTCTAATTTTGCTCTTAAATTGAATTTTCTACATACGTATAAAAAAACTAGAGGTACTGTGAGCAATGAGCTCACTAAATGATGCCTCCGCATCCCATATGAATAATGCACAATGGCAATATGTAATAAAGATTCTGCGAAAGTTTCATCAAATTTCATTCAGTGTTATGAGAGAAGTTGCAGATAAGAGATGGGTACCCCAAAGCGTAACAGACGGACGGACGGACATACCGATAACTATATACCATCCCGCTTTTCAATAATTAAAGATGTTATACCGTGAGAAAATTTGACTAGTACGCTATACTGCAAAAAAAAAAAAAAAAAAAAAAAAAAAAAAAAAGGAAACCGCTTTTTCGATGAACATTTTAACAGTGAAAAGTTAAATGTAGAAAAAGGATCTGGGTGTGCCCTCCCCCCCCCCCTTTACCCTGATACTATAAGTCTGTGTTAAGATTTTTAAATTCATATATTGACCAATTCCTAAACCCTAGCTGTCACTTTTGTGGCAAGTTGCTTGCGTCATCGAAATCTCGTACTTTTCTGCGCCACAGTTTTCCAGGCCGCATGATACCCATATTAACGCCTGTTGTCATATAGAATAAAAACTTCTTGTCGAAGTCAAATTTTCCAGCAAAAGTATATTGTTCAAATAAATTAAAATGCATTCAAATTTAAAGTCTTTAAAAATTATGACTTTATTATTATCCCAAAAAGATATCCGATGGTGAAATACGACGCGACACAATTGAGTCTCTTTTTTTTTTGGATCATCCAGTAGAGGTCCCCTCGTCATTCAGACAAATGTTCGTGTCACTATACCACAGGCAATCATCCCCAGATGTGTCGGTGGCAGTGTTTACAGGGTCGTCAGTTCCATTTGCACCGGTTGCATTAGTATTACAGAGTGCTTCTGTTGGTCCATTTGTGTTACACCATGCACAAGCCACAGGATTTCTTCTTGATGGACACAAACTACTGACGGGCGCCGGAGTGACAGCGACAGTACCACCGCTGCTACCTGCCGCTGCCGATCCCGCGGCAGCGCTACCGCTGCCTCCTCCAAAGAATCCAAAAAGACCCCCGCCACTGCCACTCGCGGCCTGTCCAGCAGCTAAAAAAGAAAAAAAAAATGAATTGTAAAAAATTGAAACTGAAAAAGCGGAACTGCATTAAAGCAGGTAGTTCTTATACTAATGTATCCTAGTAAATCCGAGTTCTTTGTGTCACTTTCTAAAACGTTCACTTTTGGTTTTATAAATGTGATCTTAAATGATCAGTTTTTTGCATTCCCCTTAAGTTTTTTTTACTTGAAAAAACAGCAAAATGAATATGAAATCCTTTTTTAAAAAATGATATATTTACTACATGTAGCATATGCAAAAAATTATTCATTTTACATTTGTAAAGTCAACATAGATTTAGTATCAATTACATTTTATTTTACAAAAAAATATTTTTGTACAAAGCAAATACATGTAAGCGCTTGCTAAAAACTTACCGATAACTGCAGCAGCTATCGCAAAAGGGAACCAAGCACTCTGAGTAAAGGAGTACCACCATCCTCCACCCCCTCCACCTAATGCACCACTAGCAAGGGCCCCACCAAGACCACCACCCCCCCCCCCACCATACAAGCCACCACCGAATCCTCCTAATCCACCACCCCCTAGGCCTCCTAAACTTCCATATCCCCCTAATCCCCCACCTCCCAGGCCACCACCTAATCCCCCACCTCCAAATCCCCCTAATCCCCCACCTCCCAAACCACCACCACCCAATCCCCCACCTCCAAATCCCCCTAATCCCCCACCTCCCAGACCACCACCACCTAATCCCCCACCTCCAAACCCCCCTAATCCCCCACCTCCCAGACCACCACCACCTAATCCCCCACCTCCAAATCCCCCTAATCCCCCACCTCCAAGACCACCACCACCTAATCCCCCACCTCCCAGACCACCACCTCCTAATACCCCACCTCCCAGACCACCACCTAATCCTCCTCCAAGTCCTCCACCTCCTAATCCAACCCCTAATCCTCCATCAACACCAGATAATCCACCTCCAAAATTACCAATTCCTAGACCCCCACCTCCAAGCCCTCCCCCACTACCCAATCCTCCGATTCCACCAAGATTGCCAATTCCACCCAGACTCCCGCCCACTCCTAATCCGCCTCCTGGTATAACTGTTGTTACAGATGTGGCAGGAATTACTGGTTCTGGACCTACAAAGCTACCGGCTGGTAGACCTGTACCGCCTGTGGCTATAGTTCCCCCTGTGCCTACACCAAGTCCACCTCCAGCAAAGGGATCCGGTCCAACAAAAGCCCCACCTGTGCCCAGAGCACCTCCTTGGCCGTTTATAATAGTGACACCTCCTGGTCCTCCTATTCCAGTACCCCCTCCAACTCCAATACCTGGTGCAATTCCGCCTCCTCCAATGCCACCTCCATTGATAACGGTGACTCCTCCAGTGCCAATACCTCCTAATCCACCGTTTCCAAGTCCTGCAGTTCCAGCATCAATAATTTGTACAGCACCACCAGGAGCCCCAGCACCACCTCCACCACCAACAAAAGTAAAGCCATCGCCACCTCCTCCAAATCCATCGCCAGCTCCAAATCCACCGCCAGCTCCAAATCCTTCGCCAGCACCAAATCCTTCGCCACCATCTCCAAATCCGCCACCGGCTGCTCCAAATCCGCCCCCAGGTCCTCCAAATCCACCGCCAGGTCCTCCAAATCCGACACCTGGTCCTCCAAATCCACCGCCGGGTCCTCCAAATCCATCACCTCCAAAAAAGGTGGCGCCGGCGCCAGGAGCAGCAGGACCTCCTCCACTACCGGCGAAAGTAAATCCACTGCCTGGACCTCCAAATGCACCAACTCCTCCGCCAAAAGAAGGAAAGCCTCCGCCAGCACCACTCCCAACAAATGTGCCACCGGCACCAGGAGCTCCGCCACCTCCTAAACCACCTCCAACAGTGAAACCTTCACCAGTGCCTCCAAAGCCATCAACTCCTCCTGCAAAAGAAGGCACTACCCCGCCAGTTCCCCCTATCACTCCACCGGACCCGAAACTTCCATCTACTAGTCCTATGCCCGGCCCGCCTACTGTAGTTACTCCTCCCGTTGTAATGGGAATTCCCGTCCCTGCTCCAGATGTACTGAAACTAGGAATACTTAATGTGCCGCCATCTACACTGCCGATCCCAGAAAACCCACTGTTTGTAAAACCAGTGTTAAAAGTTGACAGTCCTGGATTTGCAAATGGCACTTGTGACAGACATGGATGGAAAGTGCAAGTTAAAGCAAGGGCCCATAAATATTTAAGGATCTGTTTTAAAAAAAAAAATTGGGGAAATTAGATTAAATAAGTATTTGAATGAAATAAGTTAGATAACGAAGGATCAAGTAAATCATTTTCCCCCTATACATTGCATGCAAAGTTGCGCCATGTAAATTGTCTTCGCCATATTTTTTAACGGACATGTTTATTCTAACAGAATATTTTGAAGTAGAAAAAAGACACGCAATGTTCATTCTAATAAAACAAGTAAAATTAGGTGTTTTTTTTTATAAATGATATACCCGGTATTAGAACTTCCTAAAATAACTTATTATTGTCTTAAGGTATATTATGTAACCCTTTCTACATGCGTTTGGTTCAATGCTACAGCCATCTTTTGTCATTATTTTTATCTTCAGTACATGGAAAATCAGAAACGCACCACGTACATGTATTGTTAAAACATACATTTGAATCGAATAAATAAGACATTTAAAAGACAGTTTTTATTTTTTATTTTATTTTATTTTTTTTTGCTATATGCAGATATATAATCTTTAAAAGGCCTTTCTTCGGCAAAATAAGATGATCTTAAAAACTTATATATATAGACATAATATTTTAGTGTATTATTTCATGAAACTGGTTCGTTTTCATTTTGCAATATCTAACATATATTATTTTACTGGTCTAGATTTTTTTCTTTATATAATATAAACTTAAGGTCATTAATTTTGCATTCGCCTAAATTTTGGGCATGTCTTTATGCAATGCAGATCACCGCAGAAACAATTAAAGGTGCCATTCAAAACTATGAGAAATTTTAGTAATTCAATGTAATATTAGTGTCTATGTAAAAAAGAATTGAGTATTTGCTGAAGACTTAGACGTTAGGCACGGTTTTTGGTACCATAATTTCTGCCTCTTTTTATGTTGCCGAGAAACTGTCGTTTTCAATAAATATTTTGTTAACTAAAAATTAATAAAAAAAATTATTAATTATGTTATCCAAGTGACTGTATAATTTTGCACAATTAATGATTTGCTTTCAAATTGCTAGGGTTAAATGATCTTTCTACATTCTATTTAAAAATGTTAAAATCCTTTTAATTTCATTTTTATCAGAAATTAATGAACAGAATTAAATTTTTGTCTTACTCCACAGGCACTTGTTTCTGTAATAATTTTTTAATCCATAGTATTATAATAACGAATGTGTCATTAATATACTATGGGTTAAAAATTTACTATTGAACAGGTACCTGAGTCTTAGTTTCAAGTTCTTTTGTGAAACGGACCCAACAGCAATGGTTTCACCTCGAAGCAAAAATTTAAAATATGTTTTATTGAACGATTCACTAAGGATTTGGAAACAGACAAAGCCTCTACTTGCATTAATAGGTCAAGACAGACAATAATTAATTATACTTTTACATGATAATAAACATGCTAATAATAAAAGTTCACAATCGAATATTATTCATCAGCATTATAGAAAATAGATGATGACCCCCTAACTGTATTCAAATTTATTATGTACAGTCTATTTTTAACAATAAGGTATTATATATGAAATATGTTCTTTTTTTAATTTCTAGAATAGAAATATTGAAATCAGTGCTAATAAGTTTGTTTAAATTTCGGAATAATAACTGAATTTGTTTCAAATAAAGAAAACCTCAGTATGATGAAAGTTAAGGACTAAATACAATGATTTCACGAAAATAAATTTTAGCGGAACAGATAATTTAATATTACGTAAAAAAAATATATATATAAAAATAGATATTGACATAAAGTATTCAAAAGATACGAATTAATATATAACTGGAACTAAAATAAATGGAACTAAGATAAATAAATGAATAAAAATGGACAGAAATTTTGAAACCTTAACAGGAATTGATTTTTCTTTTCATGGGTACTGTTCCGTTCCACTTCATGTGTTTCAATTTTTTGGTAAGATCGTATTTTAAGGGTAACTTTATTAATTTTTAAAAAAGAACATAATTCAAGAAATGTGATATTAATGTGATATTTAAAATATACCTGATGATATAAAGCTTTCCTCATGTCTCTGTGCCGAATGGGCGCTCAAACCACACTGAAAAAAGGTCTAGACACCATTTGTCATAAATAAGTGAACTTATCTGGAGTTGCGTACCCGATTCAGCCTTCTACTCAGTGCTATGTAAGATTTGCTATTTTCGTCTAAAGGTCAGAGGGGGAATGAAAGCGTGACAGAATCCTACCTTACATTGGAAGTGTCCTTCATACAGTTTTACATGTATCTTGAATTCTCCATATACCATCGTATTATTGTTTTTCTATTGGACATTTTGGACTTTAAAACGTAAATAAATGTGCACGATGAGTATGAACCTTCCTCTTCATTCAATGTTTTACAGTTACTTTTCTTTTCTTGGTTCGCCTCCTCCTAGTAGGAAACAAAAGAAGGTATTTCGAGAAGTTACAAAATATTGACTTTAAACGAGGTTGTTGAAATTCTTGCAACCTCAACTTTATTGTCAGTAGCTATTTTCGATCAAATTTGATCATATTCTAGACCTGCTCTTGATTATCGAATAACCTAGAAAACTTGAAGACAATATGCAGATGGCTACTTTATGTATAAATAAGAGTTGACGTTTGAAAAGTTGATCATCTCGTTTGTCATCCAGTTAGTTGTATGCAAAAACTTAAAGAATGAAGATAGAGAACACTGACAAATGTCATAAAACTTGAAAAATGATGATTCTGTGAAAAAGCATTTACACGATCCCCTTGAAATGACAGGGTTGGGACCAGGTGCCAGTCAGAAGTAAGCATCCCCTGTTGACCTGACACACCCGCCGTGAACCCTAAGTATTGATGCAGTGGACGGAACATTCAAATATAGTATAAAAACAAAGGTTTAACAATAGAATGAATTGATATAAAATAATTCAGCCAAAATACTACCCATTGATAGGTTATATTCGCCAATAGGGTAATTATGACGACCACAGCGTGGTCTTTTATACTTAGTAAAACCTCCAAATAAGAAGCAGATGTGGCATGCAGACTCTGTTTCATGTGTTTGTACTTTATTTAAAGTGAACGGGAATAAATTGAGTCGATATATAAATGGGGATTACTTGTAAATTGATAAAAGGTTGTCGACATATCTGAAGGTCAAATTAGGAATAAATTCTTCATAGGCTAGTCTGGCTAGTAAAGTGGCACAATTAGTGCCCATTGATATTCCGACAGTTTGTTGGAAGTCTCAATGTAAATGTTTTCAATGAGGAACGCCAGCATTTTTATATGTAAACTTCAAACTCCTTGTATGTAGAATCAGGGTGATTTTTAACGAAGTGTTTCTATGACCAATCACAAGATGTGAAAACATTCGAGTTCTTATTGAAACTGTCTATGATATCAAAAAAGCTTACAAATACCCAGATTATCCATGCCCAACCAATATATTGTTTTTTTTCCAGTTTTTAAATAGAAAAATAAATTGTGAAAATAATTATTTTTGTAATGTTCTAAAAGTCATCTAGTCTAGACTTCTGTCGCAAAGGGGTGGAATTTGCAATAAACTGGATTTTTAAGGCAAGTTAATTCTGAAACCGGAGTTCGTGTTTCGTGGATTTTTGAAGAGTTTTTAACCAGGCCCCAGGATCATGAAACAGACTAAGACTTAAGTCAAAATGTTTATTAATTACTGGATTAATCTCAAATTTTGCAAATAACAGTGCTTTTGCGATTCAATATCGAAACGTATTTTAAGAGTCATTCTCTGTAATGATTTGAAATTTTATATAGGAGCTGTGGCACGCATAGTCTCAGAATTTCTCCAAACTCTCTATGATAAAAGTCATTGATACCCTAAACCGAAATCAGACAAATACTGGTTGCTATGTTTTATAGTTACCATGGCAACATGTCTTAAAGTACGAAAAATAGCATTTTTTAACATGTTTAGAGCCCCATAGTTAACATTTGCAGCAAAGCAAACAATTGGCAATAACTGTTTCCAAAAGTTGAAGGTCAGATGTCTCAAATGCATGATAAACATGTCTGGTAAATCAACTATTACATACGTTAGTAACAAAGTATTCAAAAGTAAAAAAAATATTCATTGACTTTTATAAAGTCATACACGTAAAAATGAAATGCAATTATAGGATGAAATATGACTAAATAATAGAAAAAAGAGCCTTGAAACATATACCAAGAACAAAATATGATATTTAACTTATAGGTTTCACCAGAGAGCCTTCAAAGCATTATGCAACAACATTTCCAGTGATTTGAATTTTTGATTCATGTTTTAATTGAAAAAATTCAGATGATTCTATGGCATGGAAATAACAGAAAATATTTGAAAGAGGCCCTTAAATTGATCATCATAACAATACACTTAGCAGTTGCTTAAATTTTGTTTCCAATCTTAATACCCATAGGCACACAGGGTAGGGGACTTTCAGAAAAACTGCATTTTTCAAGTAATCAGAATAAGTCATAATATAAAAAACATATCTTTGCAGGTTAATTTTCATGCAACATGCCGGGGTATATCACACAAGAATTCAACAGCCAAAATTCAACATTAGAAGTGTAACATCATATTCTATCCACACATTGCACAATTATGGTTAAAAAAGGAAAATCATAAATATTCATTTGTCAAGAAAATATTTGAAATTTCTATTTGAAAACACTAAAAAATTAATGTTGATTCTGTCAAAATCTTTCAGAGAAAAATTCAAAATATCTTTAATTTAGTATATCAAAATCTTGTATGTTTATATGCTATTTTTTCTTTACAATTATTTAGAATTATATCTAAGGCCTTGCAAAAATTCACAATTCTGGAAGAAAAATTTTACAAAACAGCCTTGAACTCTATCATTTTAACTATATATTTTTTTTCATCTGCTTCGCAAAACTTATAAAAAAGTAAATTTAAAAAGGTGCAGATAGAGGCTAAAAATTAAAGATAAAAGATTCAATGTAGTTTTCACTTTAAAAAAAATAAAAATGCTTTAGGTCCATATCAATTAAGAATTCTCTGTCTGTGTATGTACTAAATTACAAATAGATCCTATAGACAGAGTGCAAAGTGGTTATTCATATAAATAATGTACATTAAATGCTTTGTGTTATTTAACATAAACAAATATATACTTGTTACATTATTTTCAATCATCAAAAAAGATTTTATTTCAATAGACAAGGATAATCAAAATTTTATATTGGTGTGTAAAATTAAAACCGGATCCGTAAAAGTATGGACCTGCCTTAATATTGATATAAAGTTAAAAAAATCGAACATTTTCCCTTCTTGGTAACCATAGCAACAGTGTTGTTTTCTTCATCAAATTTTATCAATATATGATATTCAACTTCAGTTGTAACAGATAAGTAATATTCAAGCTTAGTCAATTTGTTTCTTGATTAAATGGCAATTTAATTCTTAATGCAGCAAAAAATAATTCACTTTTAAGCACTGGTACTTTGTTTCCATAACACTGCAAAGTAGCAATTATACCCAATTTTCTTATGGTTTTGGTGTTGCAAGGTCCTAAGGATGCATATTTGCCAGTCTTGAATTTTCATGTTTTTCCTCAAGACAGTAGCATTAAACCAATCCAGAACTGGTTTTGCATGGTTACACTGTGTTACCATAAAATAAAAATTTATATAGTAATATTGCTTATACTTATATACTCAAGGTCATAACATTTTCATTGTTTGTTAATTTAATACACCTACCATTAGAGAATACGGAATGTTTTTCAGCATATTTCAGCATTTTGAATTTTCATTATATATTCTAAACAGTTTCCCCCCCCCCTAAGTGACATCAAGGTGTCATGTTTTTGTGAGAATGTTTTGTTTGCTTTTTCTAGTTTTTATTAAGCCACAGTCAAGATTTAAAGTGGCTGAAAAATCTCGATTTTTCAAACTTTTCCAGTGTAACGTTGAATTTTGACCCGGATTGAAAATTGACCCGGGGGTCATTTTTCAACATAACAAAGGTGTTGAATTTAGACCCTAGTCCGTTGAAAACTACCCAGGGCAGAAGAATGAAAGATTCAAAATTCAACAGCATAAAAACACAATTTATGTAATTTCACTGTATATAATTCTAGGAACGAGGGAGGGGGTGGGGGGCTAGGGATGCCCCCTTTTTTGCAAAGATAAACACAATATAGTCATGGAACAATGTAAAATTCACAATTTTGGTAGAGGCACTCTTGTTCATGCTTTCAACTAGGCACGTTACAGTGTAGTTAATTTAATAAGTGGTAGTGTTAAAAAAAAAAAGATCCTAAGATTTTGGACAATGGAGAATTTTTTTCTTGTAATTTTTTTTCACTATATAATTTTTCTTTCTTTTTCAATTAGCCCCCCCCCCCCCCTTCACCAGAACTTTCAATTTCCTGACACCAATGTAATCAATGCACACTTTTTGGTAGAGGTATAAAATATTAACAAAAATATCTTATAATTTACAGTTACATATACTTAAAATCACAATAGCGTAATATTTATTTAAAAAGAAGTACATTTATATATGATATAGTTACACAATATACAAGAGATTTATTTGTTTATTTAATTTTTTTTTTTTCAAAGAATTTATTTTAATTTTAAAATTCCTATATAATTTGGAAAATGGTAGAATTTAACGCTTTATTGGTCACAATATTTCCCCCCGCCTTCGAGAAAAACCTAAGGATCCTCTCTCTCTCTCTCTCTCTCTCTCTCTCTCTCTCTCTGTTTCTTTGAAGAGGAATTCGCTTTTTAGTTGTTTAGATCAAAAGAATTCACAATTTTGTTGATATTAAAGAGGCACTCTTGCTCATCATAACTAATGCGAAAAGGCTGTATCATTTCCGGAATTTTGGTATTTATCAATATCCAACATTTTTTAGTTTTCAGACATTTTTTTTTGTTTTCATTTCCGACATTTTCAAATATAAACGAATACATATGTAACAAATTTCACTTATGAAAATTTTAATAAATTATAAATAAATCATTGAAATCAAATTTTGTAAATTTATCAGTGACTTGGAGATAAGAATGGTGCTGTCACTGACATTTTCGTGCACATTATATAGGTAAAAAAAGTTTTATGCTCATCATAACTATGTACTTAGTGCTACATGTATGCATATATGCATAATTATATGTATAAGAAATTTTTTTAATTAATATTTTTGCATAAATACTTTTAAAATTCCATTTTCTTTTATTGAAAAAACATTGAATTGCCGCACAGGTAAATTCCGGAAATGAAAAAAAAAATTATGTCGGAAATGAAAACAACAAATGTCGGAAATGAAATTTAAAAATGTCGGAAATGCTATGCATATTTCCGGAAATGAAATGCAGCGCGCGAAAACGGTCGATTTTTTGGCCGAGGCAGGCTACTGACAGATAAGTTTGGTACAGGGATTTCATGAATTTTCAGCATTATATACATGTTATGGTCCTATATTGATCTTTTCACAAATATAACCTAACATTGGATTCATTTTAAGCGATGTGTTTCATTCTAATTTTTAGGCTTTTAATTTTGTTAATTTTCATACTGAATTTGACTAGATGGGATGTTCTGCCCACCTGGCCCTGGAATTATGAAACAGACTTAGACCTAAGTCAAAATTTCAATTATCTATAAAATCTTTAAAACTTGTTAAAGGAAACTCATAATTTGCATGCAACAGCAGGCTGATGATACAAAATCGGAAAGCATTTTCATTTTGGGCTGCATGACCTCTAAACAATTTCAGCATCTAACTAAAGACATTTTTTGACTTAAGTTTAAGATGCTTCATGATCCCGGGGCCTGATCACTATAATACGGCTTACTTTCCCGACGGTTTCTAGACACCAGATTTCCAGGATTTTTGTTTTATGCCCTATTCATGGTTTTGTACTTGTGGTTATTTAAGGAATAACTGTCTTATTTTTCGAATTCATGAAGGCGTTTATGCATAAAATTATCACTAATATTGATCATCTTCATGAATTCGAAAAATCTGACAGTTATTCCTTATATTTACATGCTTTGATTCCGCAAATCCACGGGCTCCAAGCCTCCCAGATAGCAGGATGTTATTGGACCTTTGTTGGGCCAACAATGCTCCTTATGTTGGGCCACCGTTTGTATTCAACATTGGGCCATCGGTAATTTGCTCATCGGCCCTTAATCAAACCAACGTGTTGGCTTATTGTTGGGCCAATGTAACAGTTAATATTCACAATGTATTAATTTTACAATTGGGCCATTGTGAGTAGTTAAGCCAACACTCATTGCCCTTCATCAAACCAACTTGTTGGCTTATTGTTGGGCCAATGTAATACTGTCAGGAGCCAATGTATTTTTTCAATGTTGGGAATTCATTTTTGTACATTTGGGCCATTGTATATAATGTTGGGCCAACCCCTCATCGGCCCTTAATCAGACCAACTTGTTGGCTTATTGCTGGACCAACGAACGGATATTATTGAGCCATTGTTGGGCCACTTATTCTTTCAATATTGGACAAACATCATTTTTGGGCCAACGTTGGTTTGTATCTGATTGGCTCTCCATCATGACAACTCATTTGCTCTTCACTGGTTGGCCATAAAATTGACAAACAATATATTAAGGTTATACTAGTTTTGTAGTACAGTTTACTGGTAAAAGCCCTTTAATCTATATATATATGCTAGATTAATAGTTTAATACATATTCTCAATATATATCCATAGCATTAAGAGAAAAAGAAATCAAAATATGAAAGAATTTCATTAATTTCACTATATAATAAAAGTTGATGAGCCCTCACTTCAAGTGATACATGTAGGGTTACATGACTGTAACCCCTCTCTGATGCCATTTATGCACAATTTCAGTAAATTGCATCAATAACATGCACAAGTTAGTTTATTTAATATAAAAGAATCCGGTCATTTTGACTTAGACAAAAAAATGTTTTTGCATCGTGTTTGTAACCGACAAACAGACACAGAAAATGTAATTTCAATATATACTGCCACTTTCCATCTAGAGTCTTCTCCCTCCCCCTTCTTTTCTTCACTGTCAGTTTCTTCCTCCCCCATCCCTGTCCTTGGCATACCTTAGCTATTCTTTGATTGTGTTCTAAAATTAGCACTAAAATTGTAGTATTTGGTACTTAATACATTTGTTACTCATCATAACTGAATTTACAAGTATATCACTATAGGCTTATTTAACCGTCTTTTTACCCAGTGTGAGAAGAAGATTTTCAAAGAAATAATGCATTTTCACTATATATCATCATCATCATCACAACGATTTTGATTCAATGTTACATAAAACCCATGACCCTGGGGCCATGAACAAATTTTTTCACAATTTTGGTAGAGGAATAAATGCTGATTACAAGTTCAACATTTTCAAAATGTTTGACTGCTTAAGTTAAGTGTATATGATTAAATTAAGATTTTTAAAGATTGGAAATGTATTTTACTAGTCACACATTTCAATCTAAATAAGGGGCAAATTATTAATTGTTTTAACTGTATCAAAACACATTTGAAGTATTTTATAATTTTTATTCCCCTTTATAAATACAAAACATTTAATCACTGATAAATTTTGTTTTGAAATTGAATTTTCAAGCCTTGTTGCATTTTAGCTAGCTTGTACTTTCAAGTAGGATGTTGTAGATTTATTTTTGTGTAGAGACGATCAGAGATTTGTTAATAAACAGATTTGTAACAATTAAATATTTATACACATTGGCCCAATGTTGGACGATAAACAACATTGGGCCAAGGAGCAATAGGACACTGGGAGTCATTTACATCAGCCCAATGTTCCTATTGACGTTGGTCAAACAATGACCTTGGGCCAATGTTGGCGCAACGTTGGGCAAAGAGCCTTAGAAAAACATATACCAAGAACAAAATAAATTGGGTCAATATCATTTGCCAACATTGGCCCGGCGATTACATTGGTCTAACGTTGCCAATGTTTTTAAACCAACAGAGAGCCTTCAAAGTAACTGCTTTGTATGTTTACATGATATCTTTTTAAAAAAAACGTTACATTTCAGCTGTCAGGAAATTAATGATAAAACTTTTTTAAAGATGTGTCAGATTGTGCGCGGATATTTAGCCCGGTTGTTGAAAAAATGCTCAGATTCAGATTCTTTAAATAGAGCGTTGCTATGGAAATAAGCAGATAAAATATATGCTTAAAAACCATTGAAAAATATTATTCTTTCCTTGGCCCAATACGTACCCATAGATAATACAACCATAATGTAAGATTCGACCAAAACTTTTATCTGGTTTATTACAAATAAATATAAGCATAAACAAAATTCAAAAAATATAATAAAACACTCTTTGGTGCTGTGATCACTTAAGTGCAAAGTTTTGAAAATTTTGATCTATCATCCAATGATAGGCATGGACATAGAAAGTCCTCTTAATTATTTGGCACACAGGGTTTAATAAATCGGATATAAAGTTGACAAAATTAATTGGCAGTAACATTTTCCGACGTTGGCCCTATATAAATACCATCTTTTAAACAACACTTGTGTGTTTACAAACATCAAATTTTATCAATATATGATATTCTTTAAGGGTGTATTGTAACAGATAACGTTACATAATACTATCAACTTGATAAGACATTTTCTTTAATTTGTTTCTTGGGCCAACATAAATTGAACTTGATAAGGCACTTTCTTAAGGGTGTATTACAAAAAATAATTCACTTTTAACCAACTTGAAAAGACATTTTCTTCCATGTGTAACACAATTGCAAAGTAGCAATTATACCGAATTTAAGACACATGGTCTTTGGTGTTACAAAATCGGTCCAACGTTGAGCCAACATACTTTACCAACTTGTAAATACACTTTTCTTTAATGTTTTTATAAACATTAGCATTAAACCAATCTTCCTTGGGAACTAAAGTGTTTTGCATGGTTACAACATTGTGCCAACATAGCAACCATAAAAGTTATTTATATTGGTAATATTGCTTATACTTATATACTGAAGGCCAAAACACCTTTTACAAATGTTGCCCAACATAGTCATTTTTTTTTAAGTGTTGTCCCGCCCTGCACGTGGTTGTTTTTGGAAGCCAAAACATTCATGAGGAAATAAATTACATTTACAATTGGTAATTTTAGTGACAAAGACATTGGAAATGTTTTTATGGATGGATAAGAAAGAAGATAACTCAGTGAAATTGTATCAAAATGTACATATATACATGGGATGAAAGAATGTACCTTGAAAAGGGGGAAATTTGAAACCGAAATATAAATATAAAGATATATTCGTAAACAGTTTCAAAAAATGTTCAAACTCTAAGTGACATCAACAGGTGTCATGTTTTTGTGAGAATGTTTTGTTTGACTTTTTTCAATTTTTTTATTGAAAAAACCACAGTCAAGATTTGAAAAATGACCCCCGGGTCAATTTTCAACTGGGGTCAATATTCAACGTTACACCGGCTGTTGCCATAGCAACCGAGACACATAGCAACGAAATTTGGTTTGATATTTGTTTCTGGTGTCAAGTACTAAGCATGGGTGAAGTTTCATCAAAATCGGTGACCATGCGTGGCAACAAAGTTTAAGTGGTTACAGAGAATGGCTATTAATTCCGATATGCTTGACTTCCATAACATTTAAGTTAAACATGAAAATATTAATTCTGACTTTACGTCTTTAGCTTAACATGCTTTATAATCCTGGGGCCTGACGTCTGTCTTCCGTCCAGCAGGTTAAGTGATCCTGGCCTTATACCACCAATGACAATTCGCCGTGATATATAGTGCAACAAGATCATAAATATCAAGTGTTTTTAAAAAGTGAGAGATCCGGGTAATTATGTGGAAATCCTGTAATATGTACATGTATTAACGTGAGTCGACCACACAGAAAATCTCCGTGTAAACTCAGCATTATCGGATATGTAATGTATTAATTATGTGATACCAACGCTCTTGATTTGTCTACACCTTACACCCGGTGTACACTTTTCCATAATCAAGTGCAAAAGTGTACACTTTAGGTGTACATTATTTACACCCTGTGCAGGGCATATGTAGGTTCAATACCACCGGGACGGTAAAATTACAGAATTTCCTTTTCTGTATTTGAGTTTACTGTCAAGTATTTCATAGGTTGATTGTGATGATTTTTAGTAATTTAGTGGACCGAGTTTTGTGCATTTTATAGAAAATGAAAAAAAAAAATTTACCCCCCCCCCTAAAAAAAAGAGGGAAACCAAGTCGAACAAAATTAATTTTCTTTTTTCCTCTTTTATTCTTGGACTTCAAGCTGTCAAATTGTTAGCATAATAAGCAAGAGAGCACTCTACCAAAATCGTAATATCATAGCCCTAAGCCAGGTTTCCTGGTGTTGAGATAATGTTTTATTGATCATGTAGAAAAAAAAAACCTAAATTATTAAAAAGTCTTCAAAAGTTGTGAAATTCTTTGTCCCAGAATCAAGGGTTTTGGTGTTGGGACTAACCTATTTTGACCGTCGAATCAAAATGCTTATTTTTTCTTCTGAAATCTTCTCCGCAATACTCTGTACCCGGCTGGGTGTTTAAAATAATAGATTTTCAATATACATATGTACATGTATGAGCTATACATTAGTGTTCTGTATATTTTAAGTCTATTATTAATTAAGTAAAAAATAAATAAATCAGTCACTATTTTTCTTCGTTTCGCTGACAAACCCTGCCAAGTACTAAGTAGATAGCTGTATTTTTATGAAGACGTGTTTCTTTGTGAAATTCATTATACACTGCAGGCTTCTTTAATAGATTAGTTCCCCGTTAGTAATATTTACTTGTGATAAAAAAGTATTGTCAGTTATGAAATTAATAGACCAGCTGAAGAATAGTACCTGTCAGTATTTTCAAATATAAAAAAAAGCCGTGATTTCAAGCCGGTTGGGAAAATTAACAAGTTAACCTTTTTTCTTGTTTTTGTGTTCGTGTTTGTTTTATTTATTTATTGTATGTTTGTTTGTTTGTTTATCAAGGAATTTTGATTTCTAGTTTTTTCCGACTGGGTTAAACCCTTGGAAAAATTCATCATTTTAAAGAAAAATTTGGACGTTATCCATAGAGAATGCGATTTATACATATTACATTATGACACATCCTGTACTTAAGCGTTCTTGATCTTGCATAATTTGATCAGTCCATTCATTGTTTTTGAAGTTAATTACTGGTCAGATATATCGGCTAAAGAAGACAATTATTCCATGACAAGCCATGTTATTTCATTTGATAGAGTATCATGCAGAACAAAATATGTAAAAATGGTTGTTGTCTGATGCAGGATGCTTTAGCCTAGTGTTTAATTTTCATTTTTTTACTTGTCAATCAGATAATGAGGTTGAAGAAATTTACATCGGGCTCGAGGTCCACAACTGGAAACAAAAACACACCTCTCACGCAATATGGATCGACAAAGAAATGACCTTGCCGAAGAAATGGAACATTTTCGTTCTATTAACGAAAAATCCGTAGATGATATATCTCTGGCGTTTTTTTACAAACCTCACACCTTAACTTTGTTGTCTGTTTGTGTTTTAGGACTTCTATATTCTGCTTTCACTAGGTAGGTCTCGTGTGTCGACTGCTCGCACATGTTGTTTACCTTTTACACGTGACTCTGTGCTGTTTTATGACAACTTTTATTACAAATAATTGTAAATCTTGAAAATTAAAAAGGAACATTGTGTGCTTTTAGTAAATGAACCCAGAAAATGATTTTTACATCTAATTCTTATGAAACTCCCAATTCTTATTATATGCAATTGTTACGTAAGACGCTATGTTTAAAATGACATTGATCAAATGTCTACATGATTCAGATTATATGCTATATAAATACAGATTAATTACAATATCACGGGGATAAGTTTCATTATCCAGAATTTATCAATAAATAGATGAATCGGCTCTTCTCGTTTTCCTGTGAAAACTTCTCCACAAAGTGCATGACACTATGTCCCTGTAGGCCTGTTGAAGGCGTAGAATCATTTAAGTTGGAATTAATGACTTGCTTCAATGATTTACAAGATGTTAAAATATAGCT